TCTACAGATTTTGGGCCACTCTCAATCATTAACATATATTTTCAGGTATTCACAAGCCCAGAACAATCTTAGATCAAAATTTCAATCTCTTCTCATTTAAAATTTCTGTTTTACTTCCATTGCTCTGTGGCCAATTGTGTCTGACTCAGGCTCAGTAGCTTGCATTAGGAAGGGAGGGCAGAAGTGTATGGTCAGCATCTCCAGGAATTTCTCATGTGAATACTTCCTTTACTCATTTGGCTATGATTGGTTCCTACAACAGTATAGTTGGAGAAAGGACGAGAGTTAAGTGACAGCAAAGGTGTTCTTGACTACTCATCCAGCCAACTTCTCAATGTTAGTCTTTTTCAGGCATGAGTCAGACACCAGTTCCTATGTCCTTCACATCCCATGGATGACACACCAAACTATGGGTGATAATTAGATACCTCCTTTATTGTCCTGTTAATGGAGATGTGTGTGTGTATGTCTCTGTGTGGGCTGAACTGCCCGCTAGTGGCTTCCAAAAAGTCTTAGGCTTCAGAGGAGGCCAGGACCTTAATGTGGAGAAGATAGTGGTTAACACTTGAAGTAGGAATCTAACAGTGTGAACTGGAACTATACATCAGCACAAATTGCTCAAACTCTTCATTCTCCATTTCCTCATGGGAAAAATAAGGATTATAAAAGCAGGTAACCTCATAAAATTGTTATAATTGTGAAGATTAAATGTATGCAAAATGTTAAGCATGGTTTTGGCACAAAATAAGCTCTGAATGACTGTTTTTATTTTGTTGGTGGAAAACCCTTTTTCTCTCATTCTTCAGGGAGTGAACTAAGAGTGTCTAAAATTAGAAAGCAAGAGAATTAGGATAAGATCTTCAATCTTCAGACTGACAATACCACTGTGATACCACTATCCCTGCTGATTGTAAATGTGTATCCAGGAGGCAACATTTTGAGGCATTACAGTGAGTGAAAGACTATTTATTATCTGTAAATCCTCCAAACCTCTTTTTATACTTGAGTTGTACATCTATACAATTTTGGAGATAATGTATTTTCTTTTGCTATAATAATTAATGTATGTGTCTTAAAAATTTTTGTCATTAAAATTCAACTTTACATCAAGTTCCACTTCATGTTCCCCAAGGTACTTAATGACTTATCTTACAGATATGAGTAAAAAATACTTATCAATGAGTGATACAAAATGTATAAAGCTAAGATTACTTTTTATATCTGTAGTTTAGTACTGATTATACCTTGTCCAGAAATATTAAAGTAAACTTGCCACCAATATTTAGGTATAAGAAAATTTATATTATGAAAACTCAAAAGCTCACCGCTGTCAAATTGGATCCAACTCATAGTGACCCCTCCTTGGGTTTCTAAGGCGGTATCACTATGGAAATAGATTGCCCAATCTCCCTTCTGAGGAGTGGCTGGTGGGTTTGAATCACCAGCCTTCTGGTTAGCAATCAAATGCCTTAGGCACTATGCCACCATAGTCCTCAATAATTATTAAATGAAAATTATAGGACTATGCACAGACATCTATGCAGAAACAAAAAATAAATCGACCACAGAATCTGGTGTGAAATGAATGCTTGATATAAAATAAAATATCTTAAGAATTTTTTGAAAGACAGCCTATCTCAATGTGGGGAGAAAAATTAAATCATGTCAGTGTGCTTTTTTCTCAAGTTGTTTCAGTCCTGGAAAATGTACGTTGTGCATGTATATAATGTCTGCTGAACCATTTTTTTCCAGTTCTGTTCCTATTGGCTCCAATACTGAGAAAGCTCAGATTTCTTACTCATAATCTCACAGAACTATTGCAACAGCCCTGAAAATGCTCTCCGTACCTGACTACTCTCATCTTTAGAACTTAATTTTTTTAACACCATTAACGACCATTTTATGTTTATTCACCACTTTTATACAACATTGTGCTGGAAGCTGTAGCTAGTGGATTAAGAAATGTGAAAAAAAAAAAAAGTAGAGGGTCAGTGAAAAAGAGAAGACCCTCAATGAGATGGATTGACATAGTGGTTGTAACAATGGGCTGAAACACAGCAACAGTTATGAGGATGGAGCAGGACCAGGCAGTGTTTCATTGTACACAGGGTCACTATGAGTTGGAACTGACTCAATGGCACCTAACAACAAAAACTTACGGAAGATAGGGTATTGCCTTCTCTATTCAATATGGCTGAAGCTCATTTCCTTGTGTATTACTGTGGGAGTTCTGGGGCCAATGGCTTAACCCTATTTCAAGTTCTTTTCCATTAGATACCAGGAAGGCTGGTCTTTGTAGACCTAGAACTCATCATGACATCCATAGAAGATCTTTCTTGTTTTGATATGTCATCATGACTTTTTAGTGAAGTGTTTTTTTTTTTTTTTCCTTTAGGGTGAAAGTTTACAGAGTAAATTCATTTTCCACACAGTAGTTCATACACATCTTGTTTCATGCAGTGTGTTATTATAACAAAATAACTGAATTTGACTTGTTAAAATATCTTTTAGAATGTGAATGATATTCTTAGGCAATTTTACTTTCTAGTCAATATCATTTAATTTATAGTTCTGAAAGTTTGTCAAGTCCCACAGGTGTCTTCTGATTTATATCCACAGGGCTAGAGATAGGGCAATGATATGAGATTGTTGTCCAAGGGATAGTGAGAACAAGGGTGAAGAAAGAAAATGAACAGACAGTATGATTACTAAGAAAAACAAAACGTTTTACTTTATCTTCATTTATTCCTTTCCTAACTTTCCTTCTCTTTATATACATTTCTTCCCTGTATCATTCTCCTCTTTGAAGAACTTTCAAGTTCTTAACAGGCAGGTCTGTTGGTGACAATTTCCTTTAATTTTTGTTTTTATTAGGAAGACTTTATTTCTCCCTCATTTGTGAAGGATAATTTTGCTGGATAAAGAATCTAGGTTGGTGTTTGTTTTTCTTTCAACATTTTAAATATTTGATTCCACTTTCTTCTTGCTTGCATGGTTTGTGAAGAGAAGTCTGATGTAACAATTATTCTTTTTTCCTCTATAGGTAAGATTTTTTTCCCCAACCACTTTCAAGGTTTTCTTTTTGTCTTTGGTTTTTTGTAATTTAAATATCATATGCTTAAGTGTGATTTTGTTGTCGTTGCTATCTATCCTGCTTGGTATTCTCTGGGCTTCCTGAATATGTAGATTGATGTCTGTCATAAATTTTGGAAAATTCCAATCCATTATTTATTTTCTTTCTTTCTCTATTCATCTTCTTCTAGCACTTTCATTCATGAATTTATACCTTTTGTAATAGTCTCAGTTCTTGGATAGTCTTCATCTTTTTTCTCTTTGTGTTCCAGTTTGAGAAGTTTCTCCTGATAAATCTTCAGATTCACTGATTTTTTTTTTCTTGGTAATGTCTAGTCTACTGATGAGCCATCAATAAGTTAGTTAGTTCATAAGTTATAAGCATTCCTCATTTCTGTCACATTGTTTTTTATTTCAAAATTTGATTTCTTTTAAAGTTTCTATCTCTTTTCTTACATTTCTTATCTGTTCTTGCATGTTGTCCTCTTTTCCCATTATCCCAATTAACATGTTAATCATAGTTATTTTAAATTCCCAGTCTAAAAATTCTAAAATCTTGGTTATCTCTGCTGGTTCTTTTGCTTACTTTGTCCCCTCAGACTATATATTCTGTTACCATTCTCTTACCTCCTTACCATATTTCTAAATCATTAATTTGCCATCTTCATGAAAATCTTTTCTTTCTTTGAAACTATTACATAACTTGAAACCATATGTTATTCTTCTCAGAGTCCTTTACAACCACTCAGTGACTTCTCTTTTATTGAGGACTTTGCCACTGGGCTCTGTCTTTTTCATATTCCAGGCCTGTAATAGCATAGATAACATCACACACTGTTTGGATGTAATATTACACAATTTGACTTCAAAATACCTTGGCCTTATGTCATCTAATTTCTCCCACAGTCTACTACAGATTCTCACTACCATAACCACAACCACATCATAGTAATATATAGCCTTTTCACCTCTTAGTGTTTCATAAGTTAGAAGATATTTATTTTTATTTATGCTGTAATTCTGGAGGTGTAGTGCCTAAGGCATTTGACTGCTAACCAGAAGGCTGGTGGTTCAAATCCACTAGCCACTCCTCAGAAAGAAGGCTGAGCAATCTACTTCCATACAGATATCACTTCAGAAACCCAAGGAGGATCATTCTGAGTTGGAATTGACTTGATGGCAGTGAGTTTGGCTTTTGGTTTTGTTTTTAGTTTAAATAGCATTTGAATTATTTGTAACCTGAAGATTAGAACAATTTATGAAGTCATCTAGCTTAATGCTTTGGTGGTAGACAATGAGAACAGCTTTTGACAGATTTAAATTTTTTTTGCATGGAAAATATATAAAAAATGCCCATTTTTTTTGGTGGGTGCTCAAGTTTGTCAATAGATATTATTCCAGAAAGTCAACCATTTCTATCAAATTTCAAAATATGTTTTCATAGAGTCAAAGAAAGTAGTATCTTAAAATACTTTTAATTTTCTCTGTCTGGTGGTGACTTTCTCATTCTTAATTCCTACTTCATGTGTTAGTACTTTCTCCTGTTTTTTAATTGAGTAAACTAGTTACGTATCTTCTATTTCCCCTCCCTCAATTAGTACCTTCCTCCCTCTTTCCTTCCCCATTCATTTTTTTCACTCTTTCTTTTCCTTCTTGGTCTAATTTCCTCTTTCCTCAAATGCAAAAGCTATTTTGCAAATATTGGGTTCCAGACGTGTTTTGATATGTTTACTACATAAGTGTGTATGTGTGGATAGATAAATAGAGATATATAATACAAAGTTTAAAATACATGTTAAGTCTGTAGACAGTCTGTAGTAGGAAAATGGTGATGCTAGCATGGATCAGGCATAATTCTCTACACAAATTGATGGTTTTTATTGGAAGTACTCCACTTCTCACATATTTATCAAAACTACGTACATTCTTTAAAGATTCAGGGTTCTCTTATTTCCGCTTGGACTGATAAATCTATTTGCATTGCCTAGTACTTTCCTTAGGGCTGTCTGCATTTCTTTGTTTCTTAGACTGTAAACAATGGGATTGAGCAGAGGTGTCAGCACTGTATATGTCACAGCCACCAGCATATCTTTGCGGAATGAGTCATTATTCTTGGGCCTCAGATAGACAAAAGAAGCAAATCCATAGTGTATGGACACCACAGTGAGGTGAGAGGAACAAGTTGAGAAGGCCTTAGACCTCCCTGCAGAAGGCATCTTTACAATTACTGACACAATGAAGACATAGGAAATCATGATCAAAATAAAGCTGCCCACCAGGACAAAGGCAGTAAATGCAAGAAGAACCATTTTTTGAAGGGAGGTATAATCACAAGCAAGGGAGACCACAGGTGTGATGTCACAGAAAAAGTGCTGGATGGTTTTAGAGTCACAAAAAGACAAATGGAATACTATGCTGACAATGCACAGAGAGACCAGAAGCCCAACCACAAAACAGGCCACCATCTGCTGAAAGCAGATCTTCCAGGTCATCAGGATGGGATAGTGCAGTGGGTGGTGGATGGCAGAGTAGCGGTCATAGGACATGGCAGCTAAGATAAAACAGTTATTGGCTCCCAATCCAAAAAAGAAAAACATCTGTGTGGCACACTCAGGGAGAGAAATGGTCTTGGTCTCTGATAGCAAGTCTGCCAGCATGCGGGGGATGATTGCCATAGTGGTACAGGTTTCTGAAAGAGATAGGCCACAGAGGAAAAAGTACATGGGGGTATGAAGGTTGTGGCTGAGCTTAACGGCCACCATTATGGACACATTTGCAGCAAGGATGGTCACATGGGAGAAGAAAATCACCACAAAAAGGAGATACTGTAGGTCTGGGAAACTGGAAAATCCCCACAGAAGGAATGTAGTCACTGCTGTGTGATTGTCCATCCTCCTGGTGAACTCAGGGAATTTCATACACAATTTCAAAGGTACTTGAGGTCAAGGCTCTGAGATAATTATAAAAAGTTTGTCCTGCATTTATCACATGGACTAATATCAAGGGCTCCCAGGCAAGGGAAAGATAACTCTTAGCAAGAGAGCTTGAGACAGGAGAGCTAAGTACCTGATGTCAAGGTCAAGAGTCTGAGTGTAAGGAGATAGTTCTAGTAGGAGAATCTGTATGAATGTCAAATATCTTCTGGAGCCCACTCACCTCAGAACCCCTTTCCTTCCTCTATTGTCAGGATCTGTATGAAAGAGGAAAAATATGGAAAAAAAGTGCATATGTTTTTATCTACAGGACTCTACCACTAATATCTGTGAAATGTCTATGTGTGATCTAAAGGTAGTCTGAAATACAGAATGCCTAAACAATGTTGACTGAATATATAAAAACAATTCCTTTTCCCCCAAAAAAATTCTAAGAAGGGAAATTTCTGAATGATTTCCAACCTTTCTTTGAAAGTAATCCTATCTTAGGAGATGCTTCTCTAAATGGAGAGTTTTCTTGGCTGACAGTTCTGCCAATTAGTAGACCTAATAAATGAATTAACCATATTAAAATGAATACAGCCTTCCTAACCATAACAATAAGTTAAAAGTTTGCGATGTCTAGTAACTGGTCTCCTACCAGGTGTATCTTGGAGTTAAAATGGTTATGCGAGGCTATTTCACTTCAGGATAGCATGATCTTGTCATCATATCCTGATCAATTCTTGTGTTTTCAGCAAAAATTTCAGGGCATTTTCTAACTGATATACTCATAAAAAGGGGCTGCTTTGCAACACAGCCCTGATAAAAATGAACTCAAGTTCCAAAGATCATTGTTCCAAGTCATATTTTTATTTCCATCCTTTCTTAAATATCCACTCTGTGTGTGAGAGGACAGTATAAAAGTGACATAAAGATCTTCCACACAATTTGAGTCTCAGCTCTGGCACTTTTATAAGGCAAAGGAAAGGAAGATAACGAGGAACAGGGGTGTAGGATCAGTGGTGGGGAAAGATGGAGAGGAATTCAGGAAGGAAAGCTGTAGGATCCACAGAGCTAGAAGAACAAAGAAGAAAATATATCTTTAGTTGATGAGTTTCTGTGTTCTTTATGTACTGAATTTCTGAGCCCAGAATATAGGGAGAGGCAACTGAGGTAAACAACATTTTCTCAACATCTGAAATATGCTGGACAATATACTGAATGTTTGGTAGAATTATCTCATTCAATTCTCCAACAACTCTATGAGAAAGATATTTTAATCCTTAAACTGTTGTTGTTGTTATGTGCCACTGAGTCGGACCTGACTCATAGCGACCCCTCCTTGGGTTTCTGAGGCAGTATCACTATGGAAGTAGATTGCCCCATCTTCCTTCCTAGGAGTGGCTGGTGGGTTTGAACCGCCAGCCTTCTGGTTAGTAGTCAAGATTAAGATAGGTATAGAATACGTAAGTGACTATCCACAGCCAATATATTAATAAACAAATATTGACTTCATGCCTGTTATGTGTCTGGTAATTTTAAGCATGGGAAATACAAGGTGGTATAACACACGTATGATCTCTCCTATCTCAGATAGATAAAAATGCCATAAAGAGAATTTTTTTAAAGTTATGTGAGAATGGCTGCCTAAGTAGCTACTTTGGATTGCATAGTCAGGAACATTCTTTCTATAGATGTAACACTCAACTGCAATTGAAATTATTGTAAGCAGTCAATTATGTGAGATCAAGGGGGAAAACATTACATGCACAGGTAACACCTAGTGCAAAGACCTTTAATGTGCATGAGGTTGACATGTTCAAGTGATAGCAAGTAAGCCAATATATCCATAACACCTCTCATGTATCTTCTTCAACATATTTTCAGATATATATTAGTATTTTGCCCATGTTTGAGACAAGGAAACTATGGTTTAAAGAATTCCTAATTTGCCAAGGTGATAAAGTGGATGAGAAAAGGAACTGATAACCACACCCAGGCAAAGTGACTTTGGAGACAACCTCCTTGACTATTCGATAATAAGTGTGCTAGCATTATGGTTTTATGTGTCCAGCCATATTTCTTGCCACCAACCTCCCCTATATGGAGAACACTCACTCTGTCAGTCAGCCTCAACTTTTGAGGCTCTTCTACTTTGCAATGTTTTCTCTAACTTGTAATATTTGTCCTGCCCATCTCTGCTTCATAGACTGCAGTTTTTGTTTCAAATACAATTCAAGTCTCACTTCCTTAGGAAGCCTTCTCCAACTAGTCTGAGAGATTTAATCACTTTTTCTTTGGGGTTCACATATGGTTGTATAATGATAACATTTTTATATGTTTGACTCCTATGTCATTAGAGCAGAGGCCTATTTTACAACTTTGTGTCCCTAACTTGCAGCCTAAGACTGGTAAATATAAATGTTTGCATCATGAGATTTCAATGAATGAATGGGGTGCCATTCCGTTAGGAACCCTCATATGATTTTTTTTAAGGTACACAAATTCTTCCCAACTCTATTATTTGCTCTATTCAGCAGTTATTGAATTTGCACAATTATCAAAGGTAGTTGGCTTCCTTCCTCAGCACATTTTAAGATGCATCAAAGTATAGCCATGTTACCTAGCAATGTGCCATTTACAAATCAGTCTTTAACACATGCTTGCCCAATTGAATAAGTTATGGTATCCCATTCCAAAAAGAAACCCCCCAAAATTCTAGGAGTGGATGTCTAGGAGTACAGCAGAAAATAATTATGTTTTTCTTAATTCTACAAACTATACCTTGATTTCCTCTCCTTATCTGTCAGTTTGTTGTACTGTGGTGGCTTGCATGTGCTGTCATCCTGGAAGCCATTCCACCAATATTTCAAATACTATCAGGGTCAACTATGGTGGACAGGTTTCAGTGGAATTTCTAGATTAAGTCTAGGATGAAGGACCTGGTGATTTACTAAAAAAAAAAAAAAAAATGGCAAGTGAAAACCCTATGAATAGCAGCAGAACACACTGTCTTTAGAGAGTCAGCAAAAAAGGGGAAGACCCTCTTAATAAGATGGAGTGACTACAACAATGGGCTCAAACAGCAAGAATTGTGAGCATGGGGCAGGACCACGCAGTGTTTCAGTCTGTTGTACACAGGGTCACTATGGGTCAGAACCAACTCGATGGTGCCTAACAACCACAACATACTTTGATTTACTGAGGTGTTCTAGTTACCTAGCGCCACTCTGATAGGAATATACCACAAACTGGATGGCCTTAACAAACAGAAGTTTATTCTTACAATTTGGAGGCTTTAAGTCCAAGTTTAAGTGTCAGGCTCTAGAAGCTGGGTGAAAGCCCCTCAACCTTGGGGTCCAGCTTTGCCTCCTGCTCCAGGCCCACTGGAGCTAGAGGCGTTTCTTCACTCAGACAGCTGCTGGCTGCTGAGGCTGAGAAGCCCCAAGGTTGACAAGCAAAAAGGCACAGTCCCGATGTTACCAAACCACATGGCAGGCCATTAACTTAAGTCCATTGTAAGTCCCAAAGTTGGCAGAGCATAGTAGGCTGCTCAACAAAGACAGAGCAGGGTCCAAGCATGCCATAGGCTAGAGACCATTCCCAAGGCTTCTCCTTATATACAGGAAGCAGACCACATCCCAAAGGCAGCTACTCAGCTGCTTGTGGTAGATCCCACCATGGAGTTGATTGCCAGTCTCATCATGGGGAATAACTACCACCAGCTACCCAGCCACTCAACCAGGCCCAGCCAAGTTGACACACAAACATAACTAGCACATGAGGCATCAAATCATACTTGACTTACATACAGTTCCTCTACCAGGGGGCACATTGAAATTGCCTGGGAGTCTTTAGAAGAGTTATTCATCTCCATTCTCACTCAACCCAAGTTTCTGGTAGGCCTTTCCAAGAGGAGAAAACCAAAAGCTTCAAAAGAAGGTGACATGGGTAGGTTCAAAAACTCTCACTGGGATTCTGTTACTTCCTGTTTTCACTGGAACTCATGATAAATCCTACACCTCTCCTAATACTCAAGGGAAGGAATGACTGAGAGTATGTCAGTATGACATTATTCTCATCACCACAGTGATCCTTGCAGACCCTGAGGAACAGAAATTGAGAAATATGTTTACTGGGCCAGCATTTTATAATAAATTCCCTCCCTTTAGTTTGTATCAATGAAAGGGTACAAGTTATAGACTGAAAGGGACACAACCGATTTCTATTCCTGAAACCCCTGTCCAATGTTTGTCAAGCCATCACCTTTGCAGAGAACTACTGTACTTAGAATACCTACTTTCTTTGAGACAGCAACACTTACAGGAATTTTGGGGCTGCTTCTGGACTTCAGACTATCCTGAAGATGCTCTTGTCCTATCCCCATATCAAAACTCTTGACTATGGACACTGATCTGCTCCCCAAGATACACATCAAAATCATGGGCAGACTGGGGAGGGATGGGTCCACCATTTCACTTATCTTTCATCTTTCCTCTCCAAAATGAATGGGAGGTTGTTTTTTTTTCAGCTAACCTTAATCCCATGCTTAAGAGATAATTTTCAAAGGTAGTGAAAAGGTGAATATTTATCACAAAGTCTTTAGAAAAGTGCATTTAACTTTTTTTCATTTGACCCAATCAATATAGTCAGAGATGATGCAGCTTTTCTGTGTTGTCTTTTACACTGTTTGGAAAAGAGGTTGATATTTTAAATTATGTGGAAAATAAAGAAGTGTGTTTTATTGAGTTGCCGGCATGAATTATGATTAGGATATTTGACCAAATTTACATATTTCAGAGGCTCATGGGGTCCACGTTTTTACTGCTTGTAAATGGTTATCTGGGTTCCCTTTATAGATGTGAAAACTTAATTTCCCTAGTTATTTCCATGAGCCTACTTCAGATCCATGAAGGGAATTGTTGCTCTTCTAAATCACAGCTGCATAACTATGAAATCAAGAAATCTTGCGGTCA